CACTTGGTGTTGACGACATTCCCATCTTCCCCTCTTCTTCGTCTAAACCCCATCTTCTTCGTCTGTGTATGGTTGGGACTGGCGCAGTCTTCCTGGTGAAGCGCCAGACCCCTTCACACCATGGAATGATGATGATGATGTATGTTTGGGCTGCATTGCAATATTGATTGTTCGGATCATTGGTATCTAAGTCTTCCGCTGTGCTATTTTATACTTTGTATCGAAAGGTCGGTTCTTGTTCTGGTCTGCACCTATACGGTATGCAACAAGCAGTAGAAGATGGGGAAAAAAAAACGATCCTCTCTCTCTCTCTCTCTCTCTTAGGAAGTAGTTAGAAGAAGAAGAAGAAGAAGAAGAAGAAGAAGAAGAAGAAGAAGAAGAAGAAGAAGAAAGAAAGGAAGAAGAAGAAGAAGAAGAAGAAGAAGAAGAAGAAAGGGAGAAGAAGAAGAAGAAGAAGAAGAAGAAGAAGAAGAAGAAGAAGAAGAAGAGAATGGGCACTTACCTCCGCAACGGGTGCTGCTGGCCATGGACGGTGACGGGCGACGCGCGACGGGAGCTGCTGGCGACGGCCACGGGCGACGACGAAGACGAGGACTGCGACGGGAGCTGCCACGGGCGACGACGACGGCGAGGAGGCGGCGACGGGAGCTGCCACGGGCGACGACGGTGACGGGCAACTCGAAGTGGCGGAGGGACGGCACTCTCTCTCTCTGAAAGGCCGGAAACCGAGGAGGACCGCCCTCCCTCCAACTTTCAAAACGGCGGCCTCATCTGGGCGGCCGATCTGCCTCGATCTGCGGTCCGGAGAGGCCGCCGTTTTGGATGCACATAGGCGGGCCTGCGCTACCCGGTTCGAATTTTTTTTGGCCGGGAGGCCACCTGTGTGGGGGCCTCCTGGCCCAAAAAAAAATTGTTTCGGCCTTTTTCCTATAATGCGCTGTAGGCCGCCGGGGGGCAACCGGACCGGTCGACCGGCCGGTCCCACCGGCCCGGTTCCGGTTGGGGGTGGACCCCCTGGTCGGACCGGGTATTTAGCACTGCTCAAGAGAAATTTAACGTACGATTCGAATGAACACGTAGTCGAAGGAACGCATTACTCGACAAACGGAGACTTGGCTCAAATGAGACCAATTGGAGTCCCTTTTCGCCACGACCCCTCAGAGAGTCCTCCCCTGAAAAAAAACTAACAGAAAGATCTACACTTTGAAAGGACCACGACAGGCATTAGTCCGGATGATTATGGAAACAGCACTGTGACCTTTTCGCCATGTTCCATCGATTGAATTATGGCTGCTTCAAAGCCTCATGGTGGCAGCACTCGCCATGTTTGATTGATTGAAGTATGGCTGCTTCAGAGACTCATGGTGGCAGCACTGAGTAAGATTATCTGTGATCAACCATAGAAGCGAATCCGTACTCTCCCAAGACCATCATGCATGTAGTCACGTAACAAACCTTTCTCTTTTTCCCCTCCTCTCAGGTGTGCACCATAGACCGGTTGAAGGATTGTGCCCTTAGTGGTCCCCAGGTCCAGTATGCTTGGAACTGAACAGGAAGAAGTCACTCCATATACAACAAGCTCCGCCATAGCCAAGGAAGGAGTGAAGTGTTGTCCTATGTCAAGTGTGCTCGAGGGCCGGGATACGGATCACACAGCCATATTCAACAGTCTCTGCAATTCCGGAAGAACATCTCCTTCTCTACCGTTCCCGTCCAAGGGTTTCAGGTCTTCAACGATTGTGAAATCTCGGCAAAATGTGGAACAGCATGGTGATAGCAATGGTGCACTGAAGTATGAGTTTTGTACATCAGTATGTCTGCCTGTATTCCACGTACCATGGGCATAGCCACCTGTTAGACTCGAGGTTCTTCCTGATATCTTGTCATGAGAAAGTGTCGACTTCCTTATTTGACGCCAGACATCGTCAGCCTATCAATCCCGGTACGGGCACAGGTGCATGGGTCCCTTATGCTTCTAAGTCTAGAGGAAAGAAATGGACCTGATTCGCTGGGAACTTCATTCCAGCATCAAACTTTTACCTTCCTGTCCAAACAGATCTTTGACTTGGCCTTTCCTTTCTGTCCCTCCATGCCGAACTTACCCTTGCAAGTCTGTCCATTTGCTAGCAAGAAGTCTCAATGGGTCAGTTCACCCACACACCAAGCATAATAACGGCTTACATGTTGAAACAGGACGCTGAGGGATCTACTCTAGCAGATATGAAAAGTTAGAAAGGATCACAAGGGAAACACCAAATCACCTGGCAAACTCAGTCTAAAATCTGTGTGAGTTATTGTGCACGGGGTTGAATGGTGAGGTGGGAATCTTATGTGTGCATGCGCACACACACACAAACACACACACACACACACACACACACACACACACACACACACACACACACACACACACACACACACACACACACACAAACACATTGCCTTCTGCCCTCCATCCCCTTAAGGTTTGAAATATATATGTATACATATGTATATGTGCAAGTGTGCCGCTTTGGCAGCAGACGGATGTGTGGGCGCTTGGCGCTGAACCACACGAACGTGGCCAACCTTGCATTTTCTATTATATAATTTATATTGCTCATCTAGACTTTTTCGTTCGGGATTGCTTGTGATGATTTGTGAAGGGAATGAGAGAGAGAATCTGAGGTCTTTTTGAAAAACAACACACGCACACGCACACACACCCGCACCTGCACACGCACACGCACAC